AAAATATAAATAGTAATAATGTGAGTTGGCATAAAAAAAAATCCACATCAACACGTTTTCAATTTATTTTTGCCACGTCATCAAAAAAATTATAAAAAATGCCACATAAGCGAGTTAACGATCGAAATTAACAGAAGGACTAACGGAGTGCATTTAGTATAGTTGAGGGATCAAAAAAGTGCAAAAAATTATTAAGGGACCAAAAATGTTCATTTCATAAAGTTGAGGGACCAAATTAAGCATTTAACCCATATTTTTTATCTTAAACAAGCAAAATGGATTCCTATTCTAATACTGTTTACCCGACGGTCAAACTGTTTGGCTTTTACTAGAAAATAACTATAAATATTTTGGTTAGGTAAAGAAAAAATGTTGTTAACCATGTCAAAAATCATGTGCAATAAACCAAAACTCATTAACACGGGATTAAATTCTTATATTTGAGAAATCGAATTAATTAAGAATCTTTGAAAAGCCGTTCGACAATCTAAGACATCTGCATGTGCAATCTTTTGAAATGGATGTGCAAATCTACTGATGGTCTATGTATAGTTTATTTTATGATCATGAGGATTAAAGAATTTGTTTGTACTTCAAACTTACATATTAAACGAGAAACTCCATTGCTCAAATGTTCAAACACTATAGTGTAAAGGGTATTTTAATCTTAGGTTGTGGGGTTGTAATCCCTCCCCACCGCTTTAAATCTCCCTCCCCAAATTACTCCTAATTACTCTTACTTGTTCCAAAATTATAAACAAAAAAAAAAAAAAAAGCTTACCATACCATGATAAAGGATTTCGTCATCCCATTTGTAATATGAAGATTACACATAATAATTAAATTTTTTGCCTAAAAAAATTAAACTAACATAAATTTTGCTTTTATAGAAAATGGTGAGTCTTAATGAATATCAATTACAAAACTAGAAGAGTGAAAGTACCAATTTATATCAAATAAGCATCATATAAGTGTAGGTCGGAGTTTTTTTTTTTTTTTAGAGAAAAGAGTAATTAATCATTAATTGCAAAACTAGCTCAGTGAGCCTACCATTAATTGACAAGCTAATGCCTATGTATTATCCCAAATTTTCTGAAATTCAAGCATTTAAGTTGAGAACCTTTGTGTGAGAAAATATTATTTTGGGGCTTATTAGCTAAAATTTTGAAACTTGAGGGACTTAAAAGGGATAAACATTAAGATAAAGGGTGGCTGATTATTTTCCCTTTTTTTTCTCCAGCCACTTTTCACGTGATTGCTTATCTTCTTCCTCCCGACCTCCCCCTGCAGCCGAACAAGGGAACCTAAGCCCCCGACGCACCTCCCCTTGAGGAAACCGGTAAGAAGCTTAGTTTTGCCTTTCCTTTCTTATTCAAGAACAAGATTTAGGAGCTTGAAACCTTCTCCCTTTGCAGAAAATCCCGGATCTGCTCTGTTCTTCCTGCCCTGCTGCCGGTTTCAGCTTGGTGAGGGTGGGGATCTTTTGGTTTTTTGGCAAGGGAACCACCATGAAATCATCTCTTTAGCTTTGGTTTGGCTTGGGTTTACTCTAAGGCCTCTTGGTTCTCCCAATTTTTGGTAGCCCGTGAGCTTTCCTTGCACTGCCGTCGGCCTCCCCCAACCTGCAGTCGGGTTTTTGCTGGGAAAATTCTAGTATGTGGCAGCCCCTTTAAGCCTAAAATTATCCATTAGCTGCTGAGTTTGTCCATGGATTATTGCCCCATGTGCTGTCCGAATTCTGCAGTAAATAGGGGATGAATTCCGGTAGTCTTTGAACATGTTTTAAGCTTAGTTTAAGTGTAAATTAGCTTGATTTGTGCTGTTGTGATTTTGGAGAATCCCGTGAATTAGCCATTGTTTTGCCAATTTATGGAAGTGCAGTTACTGTTCATGGCGTGATCACTGTTTATGATACTGTTTACGCACTGATGGCTAACAATTAATGGGGATTAAATGTTGGCCAAAGTTCTTATTTGCACTCTCTATTTATTTTTTTTCCGCAGTTAACACCTTCTAAAATTTTTCTTTCCTATTCACACCTTTCACTTTTCAAAACCCGTGAAAAACTCAATATTTTAACGGGCCGTCACGGCACCGTTAAAAAATATATTACGTGGCACTCAAAAATTGACGTGGCACTATGTAACGTTAGTAATTTAACGTGGATCTTTTTTTTTATGACGTGGCTTTTTTTTTACCGACGTAGACGCCACGTATACGGTGAAAATAATAAAAAATTATAATATTACCAAACATTACATAAATGGCATTTTTTTTTCTTTCCCCCCTCATCCTCGGCATCATCTTCAC